GAGCTGAATACCAGGTATGTTCTCTCTCCAATGAGCAGTTCTGATTTTCTTCATTGTTGATAACTCATGTCCTGTTGTATTGGTGGGTCATTGTAGAACATATATTCTAAATCATTTGTGGTTATTGTTAGGGGTATTTAAAGACACAGTATCATGATTTTGAAGTTATTCTAAAGTTGTTCTATACCTCATGCTATTGAAGTAAGATCATTCTTGTATCACTTTGCAATTGTTGCCATTACTTCGAAGGTGAAAGTCAGGACAAGTTAACCATGGATCATTTATTTGAAGTAATCCATCCAGAACTGAATTCATTGTTTGTTTTGCTTCTCTTTGCTTTTTAAGTTTTTAATTTTTTTTGAAAATTTTTTTTTTCTATCATGCTGAGAGAATGCACTTTGGTGAATTTAAAAGGCTATTGTTGGTAATTCCTTGAATCTCTATTTTTGCTTGCTTTGCCAGTCTGAGTGAAGCTTTGTGTCTGAATATTAATGCTTAGATGGCTTCATCATCCAACACTTGAACCATAATACAAAAATGGGCAACAGGATGTTGCATAAAGTATAGCCATCTTAATTGTCCTTCAACGCCCATAACAAAAGCATATTCTGGAACAACATTTTGCATGATATCATCTAGAATAAACATAGGCATATAATTTCACTTTATCTTTTATTGTTTCATTGAAGTCTCAATGTTGCAAAGATTTGGAAGATACGAATAGAGTGTGAAGATTTGGAAGATGAGAGAGAAGCACTATTGTGGTGCCTAAAGCAAATCCCGTGTGATAAAGAACAGCATAGGCTCAAAGTCAAGTTTGAAGCATAAGCCACATCCTTAATTTTCCCTTTTAGTTTAATCATTAATGCATACCATATAAGTCAGACATACAAGAATACAATTGACATATACTTGTAGTAATACTTTGCGTAGACACTGGTTGCATGCAAAATGTATATGCTTCATGATGTCTGGGAAAGAGTAAAGCTGCTCTATAAATCTTCTCAAGGTTACATATAAGCTGCACGCCTGCTTTGCAGCTAAGTTCTAGGAGCTTAGTGGTTAATTATGCCTTGTGCTTTTATAGCACTGCGTGTGATCAATTATGAGTCCTTTTTTGAAGCTTGCTTTTTTGAATCCCAAAATTTTGAACAATACTTATATTTCTACTACTGGATGCATTGTATATTGAGGATTCTATTTCCATCTTCAGATGTGAGTAATTATGTTTTCTTTTGTTTGGAACTTAAATGGCTGCATATGATGGCAGATATCTGCGGGTCCTGAAGCACGCCAAGTAACTGGTCCTGCAACTTCAGCACAAATCAAGAATTTTGCTTTATGTCAGCATCTGCAGGAAATTCATACACGGATATCCTCCATGATGACTGGTTTGCCAACTATTGCTGCAGATGTGTTGTCAGCTTCATTGGGTGCAATATATGGGGCTGCTTGTGATTCTGTGACAACCTTATTCCAAGCAATGATTGACCGTCTTGAGTCCTGCATCATGCAAATTCATGACCAGAACTTTGCTGTGCTTGGTATGGATGCTGCCATGGACAATAACACTTCACCTTACTTGGAGGAGTTGCAGAAGTCCATTCTTCACTTTCGTAGTGAGTTCCTATCTAGGCTGTTGCCATCTTCGGCAAATTCTGCAACTGCCGCCACTGCCGGGGCAGCAACTATTTGCACTACACTTGTTAGGAGGATGGCTTCACGGGTTTTGATATTCTTTATCAGGCATGCCTCTCTTGTAAGACCCCTCTCAGAATCAGGCAAATTGAGGATGGGATGGCTAGGGACATGGCTGAGCTGGAATTAGCCGTAGGCCAGAATTTGTTCCCAGTTGAACAACTTGGTGCACCCTACCGAGCTCTTCGGGCATTCCGACCTCTTATTTTCTTGGAAACATCTCAACTGGGAGCATCTCCTCTGCTTCAAGATCTTCCTCCTAGTGTCATACTTCACCATCTTTATTCTCGAGGACCTGAAGAATTACAATCCCCTCTCCAGAGGAACAAACTTACTCCAATGCAATACTCATTGTGGCTGGCTTCACACGGGGAAGACCAAATCTGGAAAGGAATCAAAGCAACACTTGATGATTATGCAGCGAAGGTTAGGTCAAGAGGTGACAAGGAATTCAGCCCTGTGTATCCTCTCATGCTTCAGCTAGGGTCTTCTTTGACTGAAAACGCACCTGCATCCCAAAAACAGTGATACCTCTCCAATTTGTGCCTTGTAAATTATCAGCAAAATACCAAATAGCCACTGCCGAGATTTTGTTTTGGAAAAATTCCTTTTTTAGAGTATGTTTGGTTTGAGGGGATAAATGAATTTTTTTGATTAATTGAATTATAATTTTTTAAAATATTATAATTTAATTAATTATAAAATTCATTCTTCCTAATCATTTTTTTCAAACTAAGCGTACTTTAGTGTTTTGATAACCCAAATATTTTATAAATATTCTTATTATCTAATTTTAAATTTAAAAATTATCGCCGAACAAAAAAGAACATCACCAAAAATGCAATGATAGAACATAGAAGTGCCAAAAGATAAAGAGAGCCACAGCGTCGGCTGTGTAAACCAAAAACCAAGAAAAGGAGCAAAATGGGTCCGACTCCAAATTCTAAAGTCCCAATTTTGCGTCGGTATTACGACTACACAGGATATTATTCTTCTGCGAATATATTTTTTAAAAAAGCAAGTTTCGAACCTGCTGCTGCCGCTCACAAGTTTCAATTCCGCAAAGACAGTTCCAGAAACAGGGGAAGATGAACAACAATAGCCGGAGGCAAAGGAGGGAAGTGGAGGTGGTGGAGAAGGGAGATGAGGGTTTGATTTGGAAGCTTCCGCATGTCAAAATTAAAGAGCTTGGCAAGGTTGGTCCTGCTTTTGGACTCGGCGCTGGCTGTGGTGTTGGCTTTGGCCTTGGCCTCTTCGGAGGTATTGCAATTTCCCAATTTTATTTTATTTTTGGTTAATTTTTGCTACTCATACTATTTGTACCTTTTAAACACCATTTTCATGCTCTAATTCTTGATGGGTTGTTTTGTTTCATTTCGCTGGAATTCTGAATACGAACAAGGTAACAGAATGTTCAGCCCCTATATAAGCTTTCCTTTTGATTATGCATGTTCTGTATTCAGTTTGCCTTTCAAATTTCGCGACTCTAGACAGGAATAAACTTTTGGCTTTTGCTGGCGTTTGTTTTGCTGGAATGCTGTTGCTTATATTGCTTGAAAAATCAAAAGGTTTTATTTTTATCCAGACCCAGGTAGTTGTAGGTGAAATTAGTATTATGCATGTTGCAGAGTTTCATCTTGATTATTTCTATCTGACATGACTTCCATTACTGTGTGTTTGTTTGCTGATATACTTTTGCTCTTTATAGATATATTTGATGAATTCTTTTAATGGCTTGTGTTTGATGATGAAATGTTTTTCCTCATCAGGTGTGGGTTTTGGTCCTGGAGTACCTGGCTTGCAGGTAGGCTTTGGTTTCGGTGCTGGATGTGGGGTTGGTTTGGGATTTGGTTATGGTGTTGGGAGGGGAATTGCTCATGATGAGCATGGAATGTATTCTAATGTTGGAAAATTGTTAGGTCCTGAACATCTTCCCTCTCAGTAAGTACAGTTTTTCTTCTGGTTTCTCTCTCATCTTGCTAAGTTTATTTGTTTTTGTACATCCCATGCTGTCAAACGACAGATTGATCCACATAAGGTTTGTTAATGCAACTGCAAAGAAGTAATAAATCTGGAATGTGGAATCTACAGTGTTACTGCTATAACAATATTTTTGGTTGCTAAGGGTTGAGGGTTTAAGATTATTGAAGAAATGGTTTAGTTTAGGTTTGTGCTTGTATTGGGATATTAAACAGTTATGAATTGACAGCAAAATTCAATTTTCAGGGATCAGTTGGGAAGGGTAGAATATGTAAGCATGTAGGTGATGGGGTTGGTGAAATCAGTGTGGAGTTCGAGAGTCTTGACACAATATAAAGACAGTTGTAGTTCAGTGTTGAATTAATCAAATCTAATACATGACATGCATAAACAACCTTAGGAAATTTAGCTGACAAGGGGAACAATTTTCATAGGTTTTTCTTTTGAAGTTCTTCATGCCAATATAGTACTAATTAGATCTCTATTCGTCTGGTTGGAGTGGTTCTTCATTAGATATAGATGAATGTAATTCCTGAACTTTCAAAAATGGTTATGCACATGCATATTGTAGAATCACAATGTAAATTTGAATTTATGCAGTAGATTTGTATTTTTTTAAAACCATAATCCCTGAATTTAAAAAACTGGGTTAATCAATTAAGATTGCTAACTTTGCGATAAGGAACCACTAAGGATGTTTGTGTGACAAATTACTAGGGGAAAAAAAATACTAATCTGTTAGTTGCTTGTTTAAGACTTGGTGCACTTGAACCATGTCGCTAGGTGGTTATTAGGTATATCAAACATATTTTTAGTTTTTCTCTTGGTTTTATTTTATCAGGGATGATATCAATGCCCTTATTGATGAGCTTGTCATTAATACCAAGAAGCTAGTCAGAGCAACTTCGAAAGAAATTGACAAGTGGAGGAGATGAATTGAGTCTATGGGGGGTTTTGATTTGTTTGTACAAATTAACTCTTTAGGACACTACAGTGCTCTGGTCTGAGAGTACAACTATCATCAACCATGCATGTATTCATAAAATTGCAGAAACTAAGTGTCTTTTTCATATTGTGGCAAGCATGAAGGATGTTAGCGTATGGTCTTTCTGTAATCTGTAATTATATTTTAGATTGGTTGGACAGAAACCAATCTTAATTATTGGTAACATCAACAGGAATGGTTATGTACTTATGTTGCCTGGTGTAGGGGTGCTTCAGTTGAGATGAATACAGAATACTTGCCTCAACAGCACACCATGAGTAGGATAGTTGATATTAGTTAATTATTCATTACTTGCCCAATTTTCATGTTTTCATTGTACAAGGAACTAGTGTTTCATGTCCCCTAGGACCCCTAGGGGACGTATTAGTGGTTAGGAACTTGACTCTCCATGTCAAAGATGTCAAGTTGGAATCCTGGGATGGGTGGGGAGCGTTTTGAGAAGAGGAAGGCTATCTTTTATTGTATAGTCATGCGCTAAAAAAGAGAACTAGTGATTCATGTACGTCCACACCACAAAAAATGCCATTGTTGTACTCTTGTTATTTTATGTTGCTTTGGGGGGTTGGTACTGGTTCATTATTCATTAGCCCGCTTAATAATCGGCTTTTTCTATGTTGCTTTTCCAACACTGTTGTTTCCTGAGTTATGGATGACTCATTTTCAATTAAATTATAATGCCGATGCAAAACAAGGGAGAAGAAAATGACTTCAATTTCATTAGGTTCTTAACTTTGTTTTGCCTCTATTTTCATACTTACAATTTCACACATGCTAACGAAAATTCATTAAAATTTAAACTTGAGAATTTTTACCTTAAAATTTCACTCTTTATTGTGGTGGACAGAATACCGGAGGTAAATAATTGGTCTAAGGCATTAGGAAAGAGTATCCACACAAAAAGGATGGATGAGAGGTAAGTTGTACATGAACCTTGGATTAGACATGTTATCCAGACCCAAGCAATCCACAAAGTTCAAGAGGATTCCGAGTCAGCGCCATAATCTGCCATGTCAACAAATCCGCCCTATCAGTTTCCAGCATCAGATTACAAATTTTCCTGAACCAACCAATCACAAGTAACCACCAATCCTCAGTGGCAAGTCCACATACACCAGCTCAGGCTTATAGTATCTCGTTTCTCCTTTCCCTCATTCTCCATTAGTACTCTTCTTCTTGCCAAAAGCTAATCCGACCCCACCAGTAGCAGCTGCACAGCCTCTGAAGATGGCTTCACTGGCAGCATCCACCGCTTCTGCCTCTCTTGGCATCTCGGAAATATTCGGAAACCCTCTCAAGTTAAGTGGAGCTAGCAGGACAACCACTCCAACAGCATCAAGCCCTGTCACCTTTAAGCCTGTTGCGCTTTTCTCCAAGAAGAAGGCTGCTCCTCCCCCCAAGTCAAAACCCACCTCCGTTTCCCCTGCCGATGAAGAGCTCGCCAAGTGGTATGGTAAGTGGAAAAGGCATTTCCTTCCCTTTAGTTCATTTCTTTGGCATCAAGAATCCCCCTTTCTTTTAATAGTAATTAAGAGCTTGAGGTTTCAGAGTTAAAGATTTTTAAGTTCGAATTTTGGGATAAGCTAGAAGGGAATATACAAAGAAAAATTCCTTTTCTCCTCCCCATTAATTTCCTCTGTATTTTACTGGTGGTCTTCCAGGTCCTGACAGAAGGATCTTTTTACCGGAGGGACTGTTGGACAGGTCAGAGATACCGGCGTACTTGACCGGAGAAGTTCCCGGAGAGTAAGCATCTTTTAACTCCGGTATAATTCAATCTTCCCAGTGTCTGAATGTTGATGTAGACGATTTAAATGATTTAATTGCTCTGCTTTTGTTTGCATGCAGCTATGGATATGATCCTTTTGGACTCAGCAAGAAACCAGAAGACTTCAGCAAGTATGTTTAATCTTTGCAAAACAAAAGGTTTTAGGTTAGTTGAATTGGGGAAAGAAACAATTTTGTTCATCATCATGGGGTTAATTTGAATGCAGATATCAGGCATATGAGCTAATCCACGGCAGGTGGGCTATGCTTGGAGCTGCCGGATTCATCATCCCTGAAGCCTGCAACAAATTTGGTGCTAATTGCGGTCCTGAAGCAGTTTGGTTCAAGGTAATTTTGCATCATTAATCTGTCTTCTATGATTAAAAATAGAAAATCCCCCCATCATTAATCTGCCTTTCATGACTGTAGACTGGCGCTCTTCTCCTTGATGGCAACACACTGAACTACTTCGGAAAGAACATTCCCATCAATCTTGTAATCGCAGTCATTGCTGAGGTTATTCTTGTTGGTGGTGCTGAATATTACAGAATTACCAATGGATTGGTATGCAAATGGGAAAATTTTATTTGTATGGTATTGAGAATTTGATCATGTTTCACATACCAGTAAGTTATGGTTTCTAAAAGGAATTTATAAGCATCTTTTTATGTACGGTAGGGTTTTGAGGACAAGCTTCACCCTGGTGGTCCATTTGATCCATTGGGGCTGGCAAAGGATCCTGACCAAGCTGCAATTCTGAAGGTGAAGGAGATCAAGAATGGCAGGCTTGCAATGTTCGCCATGCTCGGATTCTACTTTCAAGCTTATGTCACTGGAGAAGGCCCCGTGGAGAACCTGGCAAAACACCTCAGCGATCCTTTTGGCAACAACTTGCTCACCGTGATTGCGGGATCAGCAGAAAGGGCTCCCACCCTGTAATTTTACTTGCTATTTTCTTGAATCCAAATGCATTGAAATGATTTCAACGAGGCTTAAACCTCAAGCTGCGAACTGCAAATTTCAAGCTGATTTTCAAATATATGACTTGCATCTATGATACAGTTTTTATTAACAATAAATTTTTACAATAATCATGTAATATTAAATAAGTAAATATATTTTAATTTATATATTACAATTAAATAAAATTAATTAATTAATTAATTAACTAAT